CAATATGGCGGAAGGGCGCGATGCCATGCTATTCCAAAATGAAAATCAATGCAAGTTTATTCATTAGTTCTAACTTATGTGTTTGTTTACCAGGCATCCCTGCAAACTTGCGATAGTTTGGAATAAGGAAAATCGGAAATTGTCCCGTACAAAGGTAAGCTTGGTCGTCTGTAAGTTGCTGTTGTACCATTGGTGTTTTCAGGCTGCTGTGGCCAAATGACGAAATGTTGTTACGGTTAGGAAATGGCGTTCCGGTTAGCCTAAATAGCGCTCCGGTCAGCGCAAAATAGCATTCACGTTTATAGCCAAAATATCACTGACTTGAAGGTGGTTAGCTCTCAATGTAGGTTAACCACATTCCATTTCGTCATTTCGCCATTTCGTTTTTTACAGACGCCCGGTTTAATGCACGTTGGTCCGCAAGTGGATTGTAAGCTTAAACTCGAACGCTCTTTCAACTAATCAATGAAATATTAATTTCTTTTTTCAGCCGGTGCCATGGCAGGGCGGTTTCAAAAACCCTTACAGCGGCATAATAGTCTGGCCGGAACCTGATCCGGTGATAACCAACTTGACTTTGTTCAAGGTAAATACGAACTTAATTATTAATGTAATCACTTAAAAGAAAGGAATCTTAATTTGAACTGCCGTGTAAGCTTGATGTTAAGACATGATTGATAAATTTTTTGTAAATTGGTCCAGATACAACTAAGTTCTTAAAAACCTTCCTTGACCAAATCTTCCATGCTTAAGATTTAAATTAATAATGAAGTGAATGAGTATTTTGCGCATGAGATCCTGGCACAAGTGTTTGTTTACTTTACCCTCCTTTTTAATTTGTTTTGAGGTTGAGAGAGACTGTATTAGGTAGCAATTTGTAATAAGTGAAGTACTTTAAAGACAAAAAAATTACAGCTTTACTAATTTTAAGCTATTTTAATTTTGTCCTTGCATGAAAATTAATGCACTCCCTACAAGACCTGCATGGACAGGTGTTGTTCAACTTTGTAATTGTTTATTTTTTGTCATTGAATGCTTTTTGATTGATGTTTCTCCCTGAGGTTTTACTCTTGTTCCAAATTCAACTGTTATTATTACTATTATTATTATTATTATTATTATTATTATTATTAATAATTTATGATGAACAGAAAATGTTGTGCCTTGAATTATATTAAGATGTCATTGAATAGTTTCCTTTCGTCTTGATAATTATCTTACTTTTGATAAGGTGAACCATCTTGTTTACCCAATATCTTGTTTTTGCATCATGGCACAGTCAGTTGTGATAATATTTCACTTTCTATTTTGATATTTCAGGATAAGACTATGTACAATATGTACAGACATTGCTGTTTTGCATAAATTATAACACAGTATTTGCTTGTGTCATATCAAAATCAACTAAAGAATGTGTTTTTTCATATTTTTAGAACTCTGAAAAAGAGCTATACCAATATCAGGACAAACCATGGCAAATATTGGTCCAAAATGTAAGTTGATGTACATTTTATTACATGAAATATCTGAGTTTGCAAGCCTAGAAACTAACTTTATCCAACCACTAACAGCTTAGTTAAGACTCAGTTAAATGGCTGGTATTTTCGAGTTTCTTCTAGCCTCTATGAATAGTGAGAAACAACTATTTCTTATGGTACTTGAT